TTCATTCACACATGTTTGACTAGGCCTGCATTATTAGTGTGTCTGCATCTACAAAGCAAAGCAAGTTACAGGTCAGTTCTTTGGAGAGGCGACCCCCACTCACAGTCAGAATGCCTGTTTGTCCTGGTATTTTTTAACTATAAAACCACCTGTAATTGAAAAAAATATAAGGTAGATTTATTTATTCAGTTCAAATGTTTATTGTCAGATTTAAATATGAAATTATGGTCTCACTCTCAATCAGTTAATTCTAAATTAAATAAAGGAAAAGTCCAAAGTTCTTCTTTAGTGAGACACAGATTTCTAGCTTCCTGGCCGCCTGCTGGTTAGAGAGAGGAGAATGTTCAGCATCCTAACAGCCTGGTGGATAAAGCTGTGAGTATGGTGGTGCGGAAAGGAGGCTCTTGTACCTACTCCAATGTCGTACTGTGGAACATTCCAGGCAGAGTAATGACATATACATAGAAGCAAGCAGATAATGATAGTCAGACTGGCACCACCTAGTGCCTCCGCTCAATTTCATTTCTCTCCAGTAACTAGGTCAGGAATCAGAATACACTAGATGGTTTGCAAGAACCCTGGAAGTGCAAGTAGGGGCACCAGCCAATGAGAGAAGAGTCATACATTCTGTGTTGTCAACGATTCCGAGATTGAAGATTTAAAGCCGGAACAAAGAGAATGTTTGGTGAATTTTATCAAGACATGGAAAGACATTATTGTCCTTCCTAAGAGATTTGGGAAAAGCTTAAAAAGCCAGGTAGCCGCGTTAGCGGCACATTACATAAGTCACAGCCAAATAACAGCAACTGATTAAATGCAAAAAGCACCCGCCTACCGTCGAGCAAACTAATCCTAACACTGCGAGGTCAGTCGGTTTCTATGAAGTGAAACCAACTGATGAATCAGACTAAAATGACGGACCCACCACCAGAAAATTTGCACAATGCACGTTTAAACCTTGTTATAATACTGTTACCTCCTGAAAAACAGACCCGGAGTTGTGTTTCATTTCACTCACACATGTTTGAGTAATCCTTTATTTTTAAGCATCTCCAAAGCTCAAAATGCTCCACCTTGTGATGTCATGAAGTGGTAGTTTTCAAGTTAACAGTTCCTTTTATCTTTAGTTTAGAAGAGGTTAGCAATTCCAGAGCTAAAATCATCCAAATGATTCAAGTGAAGTGGAGTTTAAAAACACAGTGGAGCACTTCTTGTATTACCACATGACATCACAAGGTGGAACAGAGTGTTTTCCGTTTGAAAGAAGAAAACAGCCTAAACATGCAGGGTTTGTGTGTTGAACATGTGTGAGTGAAATAAAACACTGTTTGTGATGAGGAAACAACATGATAACATATTTCAGAAAATAGCGTGACATGGGCCCTTTAAAGGTTTTTAAAGTTGCATCACCACAAATGATGAGAGGACAGAAGGACGCTATGTTAATTTTCAAGGTGGTGTTGTTGGCATGAGCAAAACTAACAAAATCAGAGATTATACTGGAAATTGGGTCAGTTTTTGCTTATGACACAAGAAGGTGAGAACAGTTTAATGAATTCAGTGATAATAAGCGGCGCCTTCTGTGGTCACATGTGGTTTGAAACTTCAATAAACAATCAGGTGCTACAGGTCTTAAAGGATCACACTATTGATCAGATAAGATTAGGACATATTTTTGAAACAAGTACATCAATATTATATGTTAAAATAGTATTAGGCAAGGCAAGTTTGTAAAGCACAATCTGTACAGAAAATAATTCAATATGCTTTACAGAATAAGAAAGACATTAACAGTGCATTGTGTAACTTTTATGGTGGAGGGTCCGTCAAATGCTTTCCTCCATGGTGACATCATTGCTTTGTCTGAAATGTTTCACAGTATGGCATTAAACCTTTCTATGTTCGTGGATACCAAACCAGAGCAAGTTACAAGTCAGATCTGTGGAGAGGTGACCCCATGCACAGTCAAAATGCCTTATTCTAGTCACTTTTGAGCTATAAAACTACCTGTAATTGAATAAATGTGAGGTAGAGCTGTTAAATGTCATACTCTGGAACATTGGAGAGTGTGAGAGTGGAGAGACTTGTGCACGAACAGAACTGCTTTAAAGTCTAAAAAGTTTAAAGTTTAAAGAGACACACCTGAAACCAGGACTTATGTGCTCATACTTCCTGGTTCAAGTCAGGGCCTGAGCAGGAGCGGGGGTATTAGGCCTGTTTAAAAAATGTACTTAAAGGTACACTAAGTAACTTTGAGGTTGGGGGTCTGTCACCTTCTTGTTTCTATGGCTACGTCATTGATCTGCCTGGAATGTTCCATAATATGACATTAAACAGCTCTACCTTACTTTTATTCAATTATAGGTGGTTAACTACAGGAAGGTGTAATGCCATATTGTGAAACATTCCAGACAAAGCAATAACATCTCCATGGAGAAAAGCATTTGATGAACCCTCCACCTGAAAAGTTACACAATGCACCATTAAGGAGTAAAAAGTAGAAGTATTTTGCACAGTTTTTGTGATCTTATAAGCCTTCAAATTTACTGACTTTGATAAAGAATTTTGAATAAACCGAAATATTTGAATTCATATTTTTTTCTTGGTGGTTTTATTTGTTTACAGTCCTTTTCGAAAATGTAGCGCAGTCAAAAGTGCAAATACCTGCTCTCAGATGTAGTGAAATAAAGCAAAAAGTTGTAAAATGTACTTAAGTAAAGTACAGATACCTACATTTTTTAAACCTAAGTACAGTACTTTATTATTCGACTTACTTAGACTTTATTGACCCACAGAAATTATTTGGACACAGTAGCTCACACATCACAATATATTATAATAAGAAAGAGCAAAAATATAATAAATTCAAAATATGTAGCAAAAATATCAAGAAACTACTGTCAAATAAGTCATATAGTATAAATGTATAGGTACATGTAGAAATAAAATAGAATAGAATTACTGATTAGTCCAACAGACTACAGCTAAGACAGCATAGAAGTGAGAGAGAGTAAACACACAGAGGCGTTTTTGTGACTCTAGGTTCACTATTTTTTGGGGGGGAGGGTAGCACACCACCCTGTCTCCACTGAGCTGCTATCGCTGTGCCTAGAATGTTCCACAAATGGCGCTGAACGTATCTATCTTCACGACAACTGACACCACCAGGCCAATTTACAAGATGGATCTGTGGAAGAGAGCCAGCCCACAGAAAGAATGCACATTTTTAGCACAAAAAAAAAAAAAAAAAAAAAAAAACACTTGATGAATGTAAAAGATATACAATATAGAGCCTGACCGATATGGATTTTGTTGTGGCCGATATAAAACCGATATAATGGGAGTTGGAGCTGCCGATAGCCGATATAATCACAGATATATTTAGTGATGTAAAAATTCACTGTAAATCTTGAATTGATTAAAAAACTTAGGTTTGGCTCTAGTGGATTTTAAATTGGGTTTATTTAGGCAACATTTATTGTTATTTTGACTTTACATTCTTACTTTACATCATATTTACCTACAGTAGATTGGACTAATGGCATTTTTGCATCACATTCTAGCTACTAGTGATGGGTATTTCAGGTTTTTTTTTTTTGGAGAACTGGCTCTTTTGGCTCGGCTCACTAAAGCAGCTGGCTCTTTCGGCTCCCAAGCGACTCTTGAGATTGTTTTGTTGCAAGCAGGACTAAACCAGAACTGAACCAGGACTGAGTGTCGGGACTCGATTTCTATCTCTCTCCTGCACTCGAGCCCAAGATTAGTCCTGGTTTATTCATTTTATGCTGAACTGCAGCCAAATATGCACTTTTTTTGTATCCTATGCACACGCAGATTTCTGAAAGTTTCATTTTCAGACGCTGCTGCTGTCAAACTATGGGTCTACATGCGGCATGAAGAGAAAAAGTGAGAAAAAGAGAAAACACGGCTCCCAATAAGAAGCAGGCTCCCGTTGCTTCGATCGCGACCGACCCATAACTCCTAGCTAGTAAACTATCGCTATTAGCCTTTAACCATAAATGCTGCGCACCGCGGTAGTTAATTATATGCATAAATGTGGATCATTCACACGTCTATTCACAGCTCATTTACATATCAATGCAGGTCCAGTAAGAAATATACGGCCAATGTAGTCACTTTACAATAGACCAATAGAAAACAGCCTGTTTATGTGCGGGAGCTACAGCAGCTAACCGCTAACAAAACCTAAACTAGCTTCAAAGTCGCTCACACAGGCTCCTCCTCACATCACAAGTCTGCACTAATAAATGTCCTTTTTTTTTCTCAATGTTGCGCACGTCTGCGGGTGTAAACAAACACACGCGAGTGAAGTGACGTCACTCTGGTGGTGTGTTTAGGGACAGTACGGATACAGACAAATTACACAGCAGATAAATACTGATGCGGAGCCACATATTAGGACATTTATCTGTCTGTAAATTGGATTAAATGAACATAATGTAGAGAGTCTAAGCTTTATAACGAGGTATAACATGCCCACGTGAAATATCGGCCCATATCAGCAAGCATATCGGCCGATAGCCGATATGTCTCCAGGTGCCCATATATCGGTCGTGCTCTAATACAATATACGTTTAATGTTTTTATGCCATGCTATGGAACAATATCTCCATAGAGACCATGTGGCAGACCTTGCATCTGAAAAGTTACACAGTGCACCTTTAAATTATTATTCTTTTTTTTATTATATCTTATCCTCATTTCTCATTGCCAGTTCTATTTGGTAGACTGGCAATTTCAAGTTTCAAAATAAGAGGACATTGTGAAAATGAGTCTAGACACCAAACATTTCCGTCACTGTGGGAAATCATGACGCAAGTCCGTGTGAATAGCCTAAAGTGGAAATTTCTACTACTATTACCTCTACTACTACTACTACCACCCTCTCTGCTATCTATGCTCTGATTGGTCAGCGACGCCTCCCTTTTACATCACTGCTTCCTGATTGGCTCACCGAAAGATTCCTCGTTTTCTTTTAAACTCGTGTCTTTCTCCGAAGAGTAGTTTTACGCAGCCGACAACGGCGCATTTAAGACGAATACGATCGACTTTCTCTGCGGGAAAAAACGCAAAAAAGGTGCTTCTTTCTCTCCGCTATGACCATGAGAGCAAACCCGAGACTTTTGAAGAGACTGCTGAAATGTCCGGAAACTTATCTATCCAAACTGGCGCACGGACATCCGAGGAGAACGCTATTACGGTTAGTTACTTTTTCTGTCCATTCTCGGAAACGCGCAGTGTCTAGGCGCATTACTGTGACATTAAAACAGTGGCTAGTTAAAAATGTAACTTTTTAAGATCTCAGTGGTGTAAAAATATCTGTAGTACTTTGTTAAAACTGGACTGAATGTTAAAACTGAAAACAGACCTATATAACTTTAGATAATTCTCCTGTGTAGACCCTTTTCATTACGCATACTCAGTTGGATAGTAGTTTACTCTATATCGTAATTTTGCTTGTAATAGGAGGCTAGATTTTCACTTGAGAAATACGCTACAATAAATCAAATTATTAATGAATCATTGAAACTTCACTTGAGGAAGGATGGACCACAACTGAACCAAAAAAGACCTTCAAAACGTTCCTGGCAGAAGTATAGCCCTTATTTCCTGATTAGGTCCGTTTTCCCCCTTACTTTCAACTTCTTGGGGACTTCTGAAGGAATATTTCTTTCTTTCTTTTTGTCTTTTTTTACTTTCAACTTCTCGGGGACTTCTGGAGGACTTGTTGCGTCCTGGGAGCGGAGCGCATACTAGTATAACCGGTTGAAGCAGGACTATAGGCCGGAGACAGCTGAGCGTCATTTTTCACAGAAACTAAGCGAAATTAACATGTGTACAGGGATTCACAGCGGGATGAATGGCCTGCTAATTCTATTTACCCAAGCAACAATGCAGGGGTCTTCAGTGTCTCTCTACATCGATAATCAGATCACTTAATTACCCTAATACTTGATGCAAAGATGCACAACGTAACTGTTCTTGTATAGAGTCAACCAGGGTCAGTTTGTCGCCATGGAGATTTTTTAGATTTGCCTCGAAAGTACTAAAGTCATAATCTGATTCATCAGCTGGTTTCACTTCGTGGAAACTGCCTGACCTCTCAGCATTAAGATTCATTCGCTCACCGGTAGGCGGGTACATTTTTATTTAACCAATCGCTGCTATTTGGTCGTGACGTAATGCGCCGCTAGCGAGGCTAACTGGTATATTAAGCTCTTCCCAGATCCCGTAGGAAGAAGGACAATAACATCTTTCCCCTTGATAAAATTCACCAAACATTCTCTTTGTTCCAGCTTTAAATCCTCGATCTCGGGAATCGTTGCCAACACAGAATGTACGGCTCTTCGCTGATTGGCTGGTGCCCGGACTCGCACTTCCGGGGTTCTTGCAAACCATCTAGTGTATTCTGATTCTTGACCTAGTAGTCACTGGAGAGAAATCAAATTGAGCGAATACACTAGGTGGCGCCAGCCTGGCTACTAAAATCGGCCATTAAAGCATATCTACTTTATCTCCATAGAGACAATTAACTTAAATGAAGCTACGGTGCAAAGTAACAGGTCAGATCTGTCGAGAGGTGACTCCATGCAGGTTTTTAAATATATTTTTGTGCAGTTAAAGGTCCCATATTACAGCATTTTCTGATCTGTTATAATGTTGTTTCCTCATCATGAACATACCAGGAGTTGTGTTTTATTTCATTCACACATGTTTAAGGTGCAAATCCTGCATATTTAGACTGAGTTCTTCTTCGTTCTTGTGATGTCATGTGGTAATACAGGAAGTGCTCCACTGTGTTTTAAAAAGCCATCCCTCTTCACTAGAATTATTGGGATCATTTCAGCCCTGGAATTGCCCATTTCTGAACAAACGGTAAAAGGTAGCTGTTAACTTGAAAACTATCAGAAGGTGGAAGAGAGCATTTTGAGTTTTGGGTTACTTAAACACGTGTGAATGAAACAAAACACAACTCCAGGTATGTTTTTGATGAGGTAACCACTTTCTAACATGGATTAAAGCTCACATGAGTTAATTTTGTGTAACATAGGACTTTTAAAGCCACACTTGGGAACATACTAAGTAAAACAAATGCATATCCTTGAGGAAATAAACACTGCAGACCTGAAAAATGGAAGATTTTGCCAGCTCCTCTTATGTCAACTAAGGAAATCTGTGTTTGTGTTTATCATTGTTTCCTTGGTTACACCCATCAGCCTGAAACCCAACCAGTCAGCAGATCCTTCAGCCAGTCCTGACTCAGATCCTGGCTCTAGATTTGGGGAAGGGTCCCTGTGGAAACAATAAAGTCCCTATTCAATCACTATAATCTTTAAACCAGTGGTTTAGGGGATAGAGTGACCACATTTTTACTGGAGGGTGGGGGTCAAAAATCCTGCTTTTACTTGCTTTGACAAGACACAACACCTACAAGTATACAGATGTGTTGTGTGTGAGTATTACCAATCTTTATTATTATACTTTCATCCCTCTCCACAGATCTGACTTGTAACTTGACCCCTTCTGCTTCTCTTGGGTTTAACTTTCTCTGCTAAAATGACAAAAATTAAAAAGACAAAAAAGAATAATTATTTGAATAAATCATCATCAAAAGACTAAGATTTCTTGTCAATATGGACACTGGCTTGTCTCCATGGAAATAGATCAGTTTAATGTCATGCTGTGGAATATTCCAGGCAACATCTCCATGGACGCGTGCGGGTTGCATCATCTCATGTCAAAAATATAGAAATGTATATATTACTCAACACTAAAATCACTATCGAAGCTAGATAATTATTTGAGCAACTATCAATACTGCAAACAATCTCATTAACAAGACAACATTCTTGATCAGTTTTAGTGTCATTTTGAGCTTAATCTGGTATGATAACATAAAGAATTTGGTATTTTGTATGTTAAAATTGCATTAAAAAGTCTTTACTTTGCTTGAAAGTATATGCGCTGAAAATTATAATGTGAGATTCAGAGTGCGAATAACTCAAAGTGAGAAATTCAAAAGCTTTTAAAACTCAAAATCTGATGAAACAAACGATCTTCAACAGTGGGCAACCTATACTTTATGAGCATGTATTGATGATATATTGTTTTTTGTTTACAGACCCATTGGTTCTTGTTGTGCGTTGATGGACAGGAGGACGGCTCAAGCTCTGGTCCCTCTCACTTCCACAGTCAGATCCAGACGGAGCTTTATTAACCTGGCCGCAGCCATCTGTCCACGAAGGATGGAGTACTCTGAGTGCAGGACATTTGGGTAAGTTCCTCCATTATAACCAGAGAAACACAATATTCTTGGTTTAGGTCCAGTTAAAGGTACACTGTGTAACTTTTCTGGTGGGTCCATGGTATGACATTAACATATCTATCTATGGTTTATTTATTATTCACTTCATTATGGATGTTTCTATTGCTAAAAAATACGACAATACCTTCTGTGAATAGGGGCGACTCTCCACAGATCTGAATTGTAATATCGCGTAGTGCTGTAACCTGCATGTCTCCCTTGTAATAGATGGGTTCAGTCTATAGTGTGGAACATTTTAGACAAAGCAACATTTCCATGGTAAATAGGAGCAGAAAAGTTGCGTGGTGCATCTTTTTGGGTTGAGTTACCCCAAACATGATTCATCACAATCAAATCAAAATTGCAACCATAATTTTCTTTGCAAGCAACAAAATATCTTGTGTTTTTGTGGTTAAAAAGTGCTAACACTGTAGTTTATCTGTACAAACAAGTGATTTTGGTATTACATTGTCAGTTAACATTTCAGTCTTTTTTGTATTTTTTTTCTGAACAAGTTTAAAATGTAAACTTTGAAGAGAGGCATTTGAGGTCACTGGGTGTTTCCTAGAGGAACACAAGTGTACACATCTCATCTGAAAGTTGGTTAACCACATTTACACACTAATTGCTGTCTAAAGTAAAATGTTAACACACTCAGCAATGACTTTAAACAAGCCTCTGTCCTCACCTAAATGTGGTCAGTGGGTTAGTACCATAGACTGTATATATAAATGGACATAGCTGACCCTCTAGTCACCTCGTTCCAAATAGAAAGTGTTCATGGGGGTGCTTCCGGCTCCATCGACTTCGGTTACAATTTACTTCAATGAAAAATAGGCACCGTTCTATCTGTAACTGCTGCTGTGAGCCTCGTCGTTTTGGTCTTAAAATGTTCGTATTAACCCACTCTACATGATCCCGGTGTTTTTCTTTCAGTATTTTTGTCCGTAAATAAAGTCCTATTGTTTGCCCCTATAACTGCGAGCCTCGATGAGCTTCATTTGACTGGAGTCAGATGCTATGGACGGTGTCACATTCTCTTTGTCCACTTCTTTATACAGTCTATGGTTAGTTTTAGCCGACACTCTCTTCATCATTCATAATTTGTGATTTTTACAGGCTAATGTGGCTAATGGCTGTTGAAAAAAGTACAAGGGACTAGCTCCAGTGTTCCCAAATGTTCTGGGACTAGCCATGTTGCTGAGTGGCCCAGTTCTATGTCTATGGGTTTACTAACAACAACTTAAAATTTCTTCTTTTTTTCCAGGTACACTCCGGAGCAGATTTACAACATCGTGGCCAACGTTGATGAGTACAGCCATTTCGTCCCCTGGTGTAAGAAGTCCCGGACTGCAAAGACCAGAAACGGACAGGTCCTTGCGGAGCTGATGGTCGGATTCCCACCAGTCCTTGAACGCTACATCTCCGAGCTCACCTACATCCCAAACCACCAAGTCCGGGTAAGAACTCCTCTTCCAAAATAATCAGTTTTTTTTTCAAAATTCAAAAATACGACAGAGAAATTAATAGTAAATAATTTTGGTAAGCGTGTTGTGGAAAAGAAAATTTACAAAAGAAAATATTTAATGCAACAACTTCTACCTGTAGTTTAGACTTATACAAACATGTTCTTAAATACATGGGGTTCTTGTATTATCAGTTTATGAGTTCATATTTCAGTCTTCTCTCAAATGTTGTTATGATAAAGGTGCATTGTGTAACTTTTCTGGTAAAGGGTTCGCTCAATAATGTGGTATGGTATTAGACTTGGCCACCCCCCCCAAACATCGTAACGCCCCCCAAACATCGTAACGCCACCGAGCAAAGTTAACTCACAAAACCACGCAATGCCACCAAGCGAAGTTAAAGGTTGTATAGAGGATTTTTTTAAGGAAAGAGAAATCCAGCGACAGTCCTTTTTCAAATGTAGTGCATGCGTGACACCACCTTCCTCCTCCACAGTTCCCTCTAGAAATAATTTGGAGACCGACACCTCAGTTTTTAGACCCTTCGTCTGCTTCAGTCGCACAATCACTGAAAGGAATCTCCAAGAATCACCTCAGTTTGTCTTCGCTCCTTTTCTCCTTCTCTTCTTCTTTCAGCGACCTCAAAAACCGACTTTCTTTTACGGCGAACTGGTCATGGATTCTCGTCCGACGTCGCAACAAACTTTATGCGAACTGCGAGAGAGCCACAATTAGAAAAAGCCTCTAAGAACCGCTGCATAGTTACCTTAGAAACGTAGGGAGTTTGATTGACAACCTAACAGCCAATAGAAAATGAGGCAGCCTCGTTTTCTATTGGCTGATGTTTATCTGGCCTCAACACGTCCACAGTTGATAGATTTTCATTCTTTTTTTTTTTTTGGTCATCATAATTACAAGGCTGCTGTGTCTCTGTAATGGTATTTTAAACTTTCATTGACAATTTGAAACAAACAAAAAATCCTCCATACAACCTTTAATGCCCCAAAATGACGTAACGCCCCAAAATGACGTAACGTTACCAAGCAAAGTTACAGGGCAGATCTATGGAGAGGTGACCCCACTCATAGTAAGAGTGCATGTGTTTCAAGGGATTTTTGAGCATTAAAAACAGAAAATAATAATTAATTGAATGAATGCAAGCTAGGTTCATTTAATGCTGTACTTTGGAAAATTCCAGACAAAGCACTAACATCATCACAGAGACAAGCACGTGGCAGACCCTCCCCCCGGAAAGTTACACAGTGCACCTTTTATTGCTCCTTGTTTGAAATGTGCACTTTGAGTCCTACTTTTAAAACTTGTATCACACAACTAATCTCGTTCTTAACACGACTTGCTCTTGTGGCAAAGATTGGAGCTTTTGATGGGCAATGTTTACCTTTCCTCTTGGTGGCCTTGAATGGACTTTTTTGTTTATTCTCCAAACAGGCTGTGTGCAGAGACGGGTCACTCTTCCGCCATCTGGAGACTCTCTGGAGTTTTTCCCCTGGTCCTACCCCAAACTCCTGCAACGTTGAGTTCTTTGTAAGTAATATTTAAAATACAAAAAAAATTAACTTGCATTTGAAATATGTAAATTACTGGAAACTGAAGACAATTACACTTAAAGCCGTACTGGGTAACTTTTCTGCTGGAATATGCCTCACAGTATGGCATTAAGCGTAATCCAGCTCCATGGAGACAGGCACGTGACACTGGTTACAGGTCAGATTTATTCAATTATAGGGGATTTTATAGCTCAGAAATACCTTGAAATCAGGCATTCTGACTGTGTAACAGGGTCGCCTCTCCGCAGATCTAACCTGTAACTTGGTCTGGTTTGGTCTCCATGATGGTTAAAAGATTTAATACCATACTGTGAAGCATTCCAGACAATCTAATAACATCTCCCCCGAAAAAAAGCACTTCACAGACCCTCCATCAAAAAAGTTACACAATACACCTTGAATCCTTTGTTTCTTGCGAGTTAACGAGACAGAGAAAATATCTGAGTAGAAACTAAAAATGTATGCAATTTTAAGTTTAGACAGCTCCCGGCAGTATCTCAGAGGATTAAAGATGGGATATTAATGCAAGATTTTTAAAGCTTTCTACCATGTTATAAAGTTTTAAGGAAATAATTGCTGTTAATTAATTGTATTTTATTTTCAGTCTCTTCATTTATATCTGTTATCTGTAAAGTTATAGTATCAGAATCTGCCTAAGAACTGAAAAAACTTGATTGGTGCATCCCAAATTTTAAGTAGTTAACTTTTGAGTTTACAAAGAATCAACCTTATTAAATAAAGTGCATGATTTAAAAGTGCATTGTGTAAGTTTTCTGGTGCAAGGTCCATCAAATTCTATTAGTGCTTTATCTGGAATGTTTCACAGTATGGTGTTAAACTTTTCTATCTTCATGGAGACCAAACCAGGCTAAGTTACAGGTCAGATCTGTGGAGAGGCAGCCCTGCTCACCATCAGAATGCCTGTTTTTCTAGTTATATAAAACCACCTGTAATTGAATAAATGTAAGGTAGAGCTGTTTAATGTCATACTGTGGAACATTCCAGGAAGAGCAATAACATAGCCATAGCAAAAACAAGCAAATGACAGACCCCCAACTAAAAAGTTACACAGTGCACCTTTAAGCCTTGAGTAATGTAAAATGGTGACACCTACTGGTCAAAGAGTGTAAATGCAACAGGAATTTCTCACTCTTAAATGCAGCCAGACATCTAGACGTGTTGAGCGTCCCAGGAATGTCTTTTTAAATATTGTAGATAAAAGTTTTCCCTGAGCAAAATCTGAAAGGCTACTGTTCTACTTACAAACTTGGTGCTTTTATATTTCTGAATGTTTAAATTAAAATGTTATATAGTCCTTTTTTAGCCTGTTAATTCTTGCATACACTTACCAGATCAATAATGGGACTAAACCTGGACTAAATTAAATTAGGGCAATAAGATCACAATCACAATCTCATTAAAGGTTCTATATTAACAAAACTGACTCTTCTGAGCTTTAAGACATGTTGTAATGTTGTTATCTCATCAAAAACGTGCCTAGAGTTGTGTTTTGTTTCATTCACACATGTTTGAGTAGCCCTTTTATTATTAGTCTGTTTACATCTCCACTGCTCAAAAGGCTCTGTTCCACCTTGTGATGACATGACAACAATAATATAAAACATAGTGTAAAATAGTGTAATATGGGCAGTGTTGGAGAGTAACAGATTACTTGTACTGGAGTTACGTAATCAGAGTACAAATTATGAGTAACTGTATTCGGTTACAGTTACTGTTTCAATGAGTGGTAATTGGATTACAGTTACTTTGTTGAAATAAATCGATTACACGGCGATATTTTCCTGTTTTCACATTTTGGGCTATATCCTCCGTTTTTGTTTTTTTTTTCTCTTTAATTTCACGCATTGCCTTAAACTAAACTAGGTCTAAACTAGATCTAAACCAGTTCTAAACTAGATCTAAACCAGTTCTAAACTAGATCTAAACCAGTTCTAAACTAAATCTAAACCAGGTCTAAACCAGGTCTAAACCAGGTCTAAACCAGGTCTATCAATAATATTTTTTAATACTGTTAAGTAAAGTCTGGGCTTTTCATTTTCTTTTAGCAGATAAAACATCTTATATTACGATATCCTCATCTTTGCTTCTCTACAGCAAATCAAGTAATCCAGAGTATTTAGATTACATTACTCACCTTCAGTAATTTAATGGATTCTGTTACTAACTACATTCTGGGGTGTGTAATCTGTAATCTGTAGGGGAATACATTTTAAAAGTCACCTTCCCAACACTGAATATATGAACTTTTAAGCAGTTGTTTACTATAATGTGCTATTCTAACATTTGTATTTTTCATTTGTCAGGTCTCCTTTGAGTTCAAATCTCTGCTCCACTCTCGTCTGGCCGGAGCATTTTTGGAAGAAGTTGCCAAAGAGATGATCACTGCTTTCGAGTCCAGAGCTGCTGCACTTTACAGAAACAATCCAACAAAATCTTTAAAGAAACCATCTTGACAATAATACCTGCACAAGAGGCTGCTTTTCCCTAGTGCACATATGTTGACCTACACGTTTGGTATCACATTTATTTATGGATCACAGATTAATTTATTTTATTACTTGTAAATAGTCATTTTATTATAATTTTTTTCCCCCCAGGATTTCCAGGTCACATTTTTACACACAAATACCTCAGACCTGGCCTGTACCTCAGCAAAATATTGTGACTTATCCGTTTTGTTTCTTAAATAAAATTAGTTTTTTTCTCTGCTTCATTTTAAGTTCTGTTTTTTTCTGAATAAATAAGATGTAGATAATGTGTAGATAAAAATGAGTTTTCACATTAGCGTCTGTCATATTTGAGTCTTTTAAATGGCTCTTTGATGTTAACACACCCAGAAGATTCAGATCACATAAAAGAGCCGAAAGTCCCTTGTGGACCAGTTAAGTTTGTCTAAGTCTATAAAATACATTCTTGCTAGAGTATTGGGGATCAATCAACTCAATATTATTTATTTTTAGTTTGTGATTTAATTTCCCACCATTGACAATTTTAAGCAGCAAACTAACAGTTGAGCAAAACACTTTGGAATCATTTCTCTTCAAATGACTTTCTCTCTCTGCCTAATTAACACAATTAGAATTAATCTATTAATTGTGTCCAGACTGGCACAAACCCCATCAAAAAGGGTCTAGTGACGTCCCTGGTGCTGTTATAATCAGGTGAATGGTCAAATTTTAGTAAATAGCTAATAAAAAGAATGACAGATGTGAAAGTAATAGCAAATCCACCCATACACAGAGACATAACCAAGTCTTTTAGGATGCTTTATTGAAAGATACAAGATACAGACAGTAGTTTCCATGCCATGGGGTCTATTAATATTTGGTCATGTTTGTAAACAAATTCAGTGTCATTTAGTTGGTTGTCACATGAAAAAACTGATATTCATGGAAAACGTACAGATTGAGCTATTATGTCATGATAAAATATGAATGAAAGAAACTTAAATAGTTAAACATTAGTGAACAGAAGGAACCCAGTGAAGGTGTTGTAGTTCATTCCGTCATCATAGACAACTCTGTTAGCTGCCAGCTCCACATACACAGTGTCTCCAGCCTCTAGTGGGAGAACTGCTGCATTACTGCCCATGTCATTAATATCTGATCCGGCAGTGTCCCACACAGACACCACACGCTCTCCATTTTTCATCAGGCTCACAACTGAACTAGGAGGAGACTTTAGGTTGTTGAACATTGAGAAGCGAAAGAAGTACATGCCTTTGATGGTTGCAGTGAAAATGCCTAAGAATTAAAAAAAAAAAAAGTTAGAAAATTTACAGCAAGGCTATTTGGTGACACTTAATTAAAGATAAATTATTTAACTTTATCCAATTTTTAAAGTATTGTGACCTGGCTACTTTTACAGAACACCTATATCAATAGCAGCAGCATCATTTTCTATTGCTCTTATGTACCTGTAGCTGGATTGTAGTTGTTGCCAAAGTTGGAAAATACTTTCTTGTACTTCAGAGGAGCGGCAATGGTAAACGGTCCAGTGTCTCCAGAACCAGTTTCATATAGAGTTGCTGAAAAGGCCACTTTGGGAGTACCTGAAACAACAAAACATGACTTATTACACCACATGAGCATGATTAACGAATCAGTCTGTATTGTTAGAATACTTACCATGAATGATGCTCTTCAGTTCAGTGAGCTCTCTCTCAGTGTTGTCCAGTTTAGTTTCCACTTGTGTCATTTTGTCCATGAGATTTGCCACTTTCTCTGTCAGAGCTCCCACAGTCATAAACATGGAGCCATCACAGCACTGAGCAGGTTTGGCCCCATTCGGATTGTCCTGGGCCCCACTCACTGCACAACTGATCAGCAACAACAGGACTACAGTCTGTATCATGTCTGTGGTGAATATGCTCTCAGTGTGAAATGGTGACTCCTTTTACACTTGAGCCTTATTACAAACAAGAAATGTACACTTCTTCTTTTTAGTGGGACTTTCCCTTGTATTGTGTAATTATGTGTGAGGGTTTCATCCTGCCCCTCCTACCTCTCCCTTCCCTGCTCCTTCTCTCCTTACTTATTTGGTTTTTCCTGGGCGGACCCCAATCACTCACCTGCTGAGCTCCACTCCTGATCCTCCAGTAATCATCTCCGGCAATAAAAGACCTGCTGACCTGCTCTCCAGTGCCAGATCGTTCTGTCAACCAAGTGGTGAACTACTCAGGCTTTTTGTATTTTTGAGCATTTTGAATGTTTTTGACTCTTACCTGTTTACTTTTGTCCGTTCCCCAGTTCAACCGTTTTGGAGCCAGCCTCATCCCGTTACCACCTGTTCCGCAAGCCTCTGGTCAACCTCTTCACCATTGCACTTCAGCCAACCTGGACCCATCCTACCTCCCCTGGAATCTATCCCCCTGTCCACGACTCTTTTGTTAATAAATACTTTTGTTACTGCATATTTGGGTCCGACCAGTGATTCTTAACATTATGACTTTTGGAGAGTGGACACTTGGGCAGTTTTATTTTTTAAGACTTAAAATTATGTATACATTTGATAGGGATTGGACAGGGTGAGTTAGTGGTAATGAATGGCACCATGTCCACATTTGGAGTTTTAGTTTTTTGTTATTAAATAATATTCTAGACAATAATTTATCTCGAAACTCATCAGATTAAACATGAGAGACCCAAACCTGGCACAAGTCTTATTTTAAAGATTACAGATTGTGTAGATTTCACTTTAACTATACAATATCTGGACATCTGGTTTACTTTCATCTTCTTATATCATCAAAACAGGTCCCTGGAGATGTCTGAGAAAAATATACTTTACTATAAAGCTCTGCACCTATAATGGTCACTGATATGCTCACCGCACTGATGATCAGCAACAACAGGACTACAGTCTGCATCATGTTTGTGGAGAATACGCTCTCAGTGTAAGATGGCGACTTCTTTTATACTTGTGCCTTATTATTACAACACCAGGACATTATATCTCTTGAAAATACACAAGGATTGTGTGTTTTTTGTCATCATTAACATTGTGCCTGATACAGTACAGTAGGATGCCACAGCTCACCAATCGTCTTGGTTCACAGTTTCTCTGATTTTATCATCTGAGTCCATCATCTCATTTTTATATTTGCATTATATCTGTCCACAGTGATCGTGTTTCTGTTTGCTGCTATCCTCCACTCTAAAAGAACTCATTGTGACAGGCAATGTGGTCAAACACCCCATTTTTCTTTTCTGAATATTCTTGAAGAGATCATCTTCAAGTCCAATTTGTCTTTTGATTTCCTTTATTTTATCCTTTTATAACTTTATTCATCTATGTAATCTTAAAAGGCATATGACAGGTTTTCATGTTTTTTTTTTATTTTATTAATAGTCTTCATTACAACTAACTGCAGTTGTGGAGTATTTTTTACACTGGAGCTAACCTGTACCCCAGCAAAATGTTGTGTCTTATCCATTTTGTTTCTTAAATAAAATGATTTTCCTTTGCTTCATTTTAAGTTCTGTTTTTTTCTGAATAAATACAAATTAGCCATTTCTTTCCTCTGTGATTAGTGTGGAGATAAAAATGAGTTCTCACATTGACTTCTGTCATATTTGAGTTTTTTGAACAGCTCTTTGAAATGAAATGAACGCAACCAGAAGATTCAGATCCCAGAAAAGAGCTGAAAGTCCCATCACTAGCAGCAAGTCTCTTGTGGTTCAATAAAGTTTGTCAAAGTCTAAGTCTATAAAAAACATTCTTGCTACAGTCTTGTTGCTTCTCTGATAAGCGTTTCAGAGGGCACATGCCTTGGGAAGAAAGCCTGTTAATAATAATAATAATAAAAAAAAAAAAAACATGTTTTGACCTTTTCTTCACAACAGACGATTGTTTCTTCCTCTGCAGCGCTCAGTTTACTCTCTACCAACGTTGCGACATGCGCCATCTAAAGGTGAGTGAAGGAATTGCACTTTAACTCAAAAGGGATTGCAGAACCAAATTGTTAGCAATGAAATAACAATAAAATACTCAAATAAAATAAAATATGAGGGGTGTCTATTTTTATATTCCACATACTCACCTGCCTATATATAAAACCAATGCTCTACACTTCTTATTTACTAACACCAAATAACTTTGAAATTCTTTCTGGCAGCATCATCTCAGCATCCGTTGATTCATAATCTCTTTTCAAAAATGTTCAGACCATATCAGAGTGGTAATTCAATTCCGTTCATTTTGTGTCTTTTTGTGTCATTTGTGTCACTTGTGTCATTTTGTCCATGAGATTTGCCACTTTCTCTATCAGAGCTCCCACAGTCATAAACATGGAGCCATCACAAAACTGAGCATGTCTGGTTCCATTTGGATTGTCCTGGGCCCCACTCACTGCACAACTGATTAACAACAACGGGACTACAATCTGTATCATGTTTGTGGTGAATATGCTCTCAGTGTGAAATGGTGACTCCTTTTATACTTAAGTTAAGATAAGATAATCATTATTGTTCCAAAGGGAAATTTGTCTTGTTGCACATGTTGAACATGTGTCCATTGTTCATGTCCATTATCCATTTGTGCACTGCACAACCATAAAGTGTCCAACTTACTGCACCAGCCCTGGTGCACAAACAGTTATTGTACCACTGAATGAAGTGACTTAAGTGTGCCTTTGTTGTGCACCACACAATCTGGTCCCCAGAACCTGACCTCTATCTGTAGCTTTGATCCAATCAAACATGAGAACATAACATTGACAAATCTGGATGTGTTTTAACATCACATAGCAAATGTCTCTGTCTTGTTTTGTGATTGTGGTTTTTGTCTGTTGTCTTTAATCTATGTACTGTGTGTGTTTTCAGCATGTTCTAATTTTACTAATATGTTTGTGCAGTGAAAATTCCTAAAAAAAAAAAAAAAGTGAAAATTGAGAAACATTTTCTTCTAACAAGAACAATTGTAAAAAGTGAAATAGCTTATTTACCTGATTTATTTCAGTAGCAGCACTTCCGCCTTCATCAGAAGTATCAACTGACTGCTGTGATGTGTCTCTGATCAGCTGGTGTTCCCAGGTATGCTCAGTTTGATGGATCTATCAGACTGGCCACATCTACAGTCGCCTGGTGGTCTCATGTGTGAGTCAAGGCAAATGTCTCCTCATCTCTGTTGATGAACTGTGCGCCCTGCTTCCCAATTTCAATAGCCTCTCTAACCATCTTATTTGTGCTCCTCTGTTCCTACAATTTTAGCCCTGTCCCAATCCATGACATGGTTTTCCCTTTTACAGTGGTCAGATATTACAGACTTTAACTTTTCCTGTGAATATCAGGAAGCTGGGCACACGGACCATCAAGAGAGACGAGGTACTGCTTATTTTGGCTCACACATGGGACTCACGTGTCCAGAGACCACCAGGTGATGATAGGTGTGGTCAGTCTAATAAATCTGACCAATCTGTCAAACTGAGCACCAGCTGATCAGATACATTACAGAAGTGACACCTCTGATGAAGGCAGCAGTGCTACCACTGAAACATGTCAAGTAAATAAGCTATTTAGCTTTCGATGATTTGTATTGTTAGAAGAAGCCAAAATACATTTTCTAAAAAAGAAGTTAAAATTGAATTGAAATGATAGCTCCTGGAGCATATCACACTTCAAAGTTTGCCCACAGCCTACTTCTGCTGCACTACGACATGTCTGTATCAGTACCAGTAACAAGAGTGTGTTTAACTGTTCATTTTTTGCTGCTCCCATGTACCTGTAGCTGGACTGTAGCTGTTGCCGAAGTTGGAAAATACTTTCTTGTACTTCAGAGGAGTGGCGATGTTATATGGCCCAGTGTTTCCAGTACCAGTTTCATATAGAGATGCTGAAAAGGCCACTTTGGGAGTACCTGAAACAACAAAACATGACTTATTTTAACACAACTCATAATAATAATAATAATAATGACTCCTATGGCAATGTAGTGCTGATTTACTTCTTTTGTAGAAAGGCTGATGAGTGTGTGGCTACCATTTACATGAACAAGGTGAATGCAGTGTCTTGCCCAAAGACTCTTCAAAACAGTAGATACTGCATGCTGTTATAATACTTACCGTGAATGATGCTCTTCAGTTCAGTGAGCTCTCTCTCCATTTTGTCCATGAGATTTGCCACTTTCTCTGTCAGAGCTCAAACAGTCATAAACAAAGAGCCATCACAGCATTGAGTGGGTTTGGTTCCATTTGGATTGCCCTGGACCCAACTCACTGCACAACTGATCAACAACAACAGGACTACAGTCTGCATCATGTTTGTGGTGAATATGCTCTCAGTCTGAAATGGTGACTCCTTTTATACTTAAAGATAAGTTAAACTTTATTGTCCCAAAGGGAAATTACACTGACAAATACAGTACAGTCAAACAAAAGGCACAAGATACATGTGTCCATTGTTAATGTCCATTGTCCTTTTGTGCAATGCAGAACCATAAATTGTCCAAGTTATCGCACTAGCCCGATTGCACAAATAACTATTGCACCAGCCATATTGCGCAAACAGTTATTTCACCATTGCACCGCAGTTTTTCAAGTTTAGTTTTACACTGAGCAGGTAAAGAGCCAAACCAGGCGACCATACTGTAGTGTATCAGACTCTCCAAAACAGTATTATAAAAACTGGACATGATTTTTGTGTTCACACCAAACAGCCTCAGTCTCCTTAAAGAGTGGAGCCTCTAGGAAAGCTTGGAAAATCAACACACAGCTTCTATTTAAACAAATTGTCAGTGTACATACCCAAATATTTAAAAGACGCAACCTGCTCTATTTGTCTACCTTTAATGACAACAGGACTTGTGCCTTATTATTACAACACCAGGAAATTATATCTCTTGAAAATACATAAGGACTGTGTTTTTTTAGTCATCATTATCATTGTGCTCCGATACGATACAGTAGGATGCCCTGATAT